TGGGTTGTGTCAGCCTTTATGTCTGTCTCAGAATTGGCACATTGGTCAGTAATTATTGAAAGAATAGGATTGACAGGGCTTTGAGCAGGGAAGGGATCGAGCACTGTTGAAGGGTAAGGGAAGAAAACTGCATACTAGAAACATTCACTGCATCTGGTCCCTCTTCCTTTGGAACTTTTTCTCTTTGATTTTTTTTTAATCTGTTTTCCTGAAATCTATTCCTAAAGTTTGTCCCTATTATAACAAGCTAGGTTTCATCTGCATTTCTGGAGATTTTCTTGGAAAAATCCCTTTATTAGATGGTCACCTATACCAGGGTCATTTATTTGTAACTATGATTTTAGCATATTCAGGGTACTGACAAGTCATTCAGAATTCTTTATTATGTTTATTATGCCATGTCTTCATGTTTAGTATTTGAGCAAATCACCACTGCACAATTTTTTCATGTTAGTCAGTAATGCTTGGTGTGAATTGGAATCAGTAAATTTAACCTTTATTTTTCCATTCTCTAATCCAATCCCTACTTTCAGCAAAACCCTTCTGCTACCCTAACTCCCAAAACCTATAGTCCTTTCATTTAAAACAAAAAGAGAAAAAGACACAATAAAAGCATTTTGCCATCTGGAGCTATTTAAGATGTTTAGAACATTACAATAGATTATATTCACTGTAATCTGCAGGTCTGTTCCATTTGAAAATCTAATATGTTAAGTTTATGTAGAAACCATATTTTTGCTTTTATCTTTAGATTTGTTGCATTATTTTATTCATTGAATCCATAGGAATTAGAGAGCTGTATTCCTGGAATGCCTTCTTTTTTATTATTTAATTTTTTTTTTTAAAGATTTATTTTTATTGTTTTTTGATTGGAAAGGCGGATATACAGAGAGGAGAGACAGAGAGGAAGATCTTCTGTCCGATGATTCACTCCCCAAGTGAGCGCAACGGTCGATGCTATGCCAATACGAAGTCAGGAGCCTCTTCCGGGTCTCCCACACAAGGGCAGGGTCCCAAAGCTTTGGGCCATCCTCGACTGCTTTCCCAGGCCAAAGGCAGGGAGCTGGAAAGGAAGCGGGGCTGCCAGGATTAGAACCAACGCCCATATGGGATCCTGGGCATGCTAGGCGAGGACCTTAACCACTTGCGCCACCGCACCGGGCCCTAAAAAATTTTTTTTAACATTTTATTATTATTATCATTTTTTTATACAGTTCTGTAGGCTCCTGGTAGTTCCCTTATCCCAGCCCCAATTTCCACCCCTCCCCTGTTGCCTAGTTCCTGTTTATCATTGCTAAAGTATATTTCTAAACTAAAGTATACACAGTCATATGTCCATCATTGGACAATGGCAGAGAGTCCAGAATACTATTGTCAAGATACAGTAAAAGGTTTCATTGGGAGTCTGTCTTTGCCTGGAAGTAGAAATGCCTACTGCATTGTATCCCCACTTCTGGATGTTAGTCTCCATTTCACAGCTACCGTACATCCCCTCAAATGAAAAGTCATAATACAAAATAAACAATAGAAAGAAATAGAAATTTACAATGACATGAAGTTAAATAACATGTTACTAGATATGACAGTCTCCATTACACAGTTATTATACATCCCCTTAAATGAAGAGCCACAAAACAAAATCAATATCAGGAAGAGAAAAGAAAATAGCCACACCAAGACTTAAATAACATGCTATTAAATGACTAACGTGTAGTTGAAGAAATGAAAATCAAGAACTTTCTTGAAGAAAATGATGCTACTCTATGATCTATGAGTCATTGAATGATTTAATCAGAAGAAAGTGTTTTGAAGAGATGAAGCTAACCGAAAACATCAAATCCCATGTGATATAGTTTCCACTGGTTTTTGTTGTTGAAGTGTGTCTCTTATAGACAACAAATAGATGAGTTTTGTTTTCTAATCCAGTCTACTAATCTATGATGTTTGATTGAGCTTAAGCCATTTACATTCAGGATTAATATGTATGGGTGGTACTTTGGTCCTGTCATTTTAGGAATGGGTTGTTCATTGGTTTAGTCTTCTGTTGTTATTTTACTGGGATGTTCTTCCCATTTGCCTTTGGTTTTGTTTGGTGCTATTCTTCTCTGTCAGGAGAACATCTTGAAGTTTCATTTGTAGGGCAGGTTTGGAAGAGTAAAATTCTTTTAAATTTTCTTTACTGTGGAAGAATTTTATTTCATTTTCAAAGACAAAGGAAAGCTTTGCTGGTTTTATGTTATCCTAGGCCAACAATTTTTTTCTTTTAGAATCTGGAATATTTCACTCCATTCTCTTCTTGCCTGTAGAGTTTCCTGTGAGAGCTCTCCTGTCAGTTTAATTGGCATTCCTTTAATGTCAACTGATTTTTTTCACGTGCACATTTCAGGATCTTTTCCTTATGTTTGATTGAAGAGAGCTTGATGATCATATGTCTTGGTGAAGATCTCTTTTGGTCAAGCCTGTTGGGAGTTCTGTGTCCCTCCTGGATGTTGTTTCCCAATTCTTTAGATCAAGGAAATTTTCCCTTATTATTTCATTAAATATATTTGCAAAACCAGTTTCTCTTTCTGTACCTTCCGCGACTCCCATAACTCTTGTATTTGGCCTTTTAATAGTGTCTTTCAATTCTTGAATACCTTTTTTGGCCTGATCCAGCTCTGCTTCCAGCTTTTTGTTTGCTTCTCCGCGATGACGGGAGGTATCTGCCAGTTCTGAGATTCTTTCTTCTGCTTGCTTCATTCTATTTTGGAGACTCTCCACTGTACTTTTAATTTGCGCTACTGTGTTCTTAATTTCTGATATATCAGTCTTGATTTGCTTTATTGCTTCCTTAAACTTTGAACTTTTGTATGTGCTTCTCATTGTTGATCAGAAGCTTTAAAATGATTTTCCTGAATTCTGTGTGCCCCATTTTCTCCATGTCTTCCTCAGTTAACTCTGAGATTGGCAAAGAGTTGCTCCTTTGCAGGGGAGTTTTCGGTAATATTGTGCCTTTGTCTCTTCTTTTGCTTTTGGTCATTGTACTTCTGGTTAGCAGAGTCTTCTCCTTGGGATAGGTTTCTAAGCTGTGTCACCCACAGGTCTACAGTTCGATTTTACTTATTGCAGGTGGTACACAACTTTTTGCTTGCAGCCATTTGTGCCACTCCCTCCAGCGAGTTCCAGGTCTGGGTTCTTATGTTAGATTTCCACCAAGAACTCTGAAGCCTCGACTCCTGGTTCACCAATCTCCATCACCTGTGGTACCGTGCTGAGGTTGCACCGTAGTCTCTGCAACTTTTCTCCCACTTTGTGTTGGAGCAGGTTCCAGGATTAGGAAGACACCAGATGTCCTATATAGTTAGGTTGTTGGTGGCGCTGATCTTGCCAGAACCTGTTGGACGTTAGCTCTGGGTGCCATATGGACCTATTTTGACATGTACAATGCCAAAATCTGTATTATTTTCCTGCGTACCGCTGCAATCCACTGAACTCAGTTCTCACGAGCTCAGCACATGCGCAGTTCACTGTTATCCTCTGCAGTCCTAAAGTGTTTGCCACGGTGTACAAAATGGTGCCTGAAGTACCACTACTAGAGTTCTTGATCTGCTGGTCATCAAATCTGAGGGCTACCCAGACCTGTCTTGGTGGAACCTGTAGAATGCCACATTGATGCAGTTCACTGAGTCAGAAATGAGTTCACTCCCAGCTCAATGTATGCTCAGTCCTTTCCCTTGCCTTTGCCTCCTTACGCAAAATGGCGCCCAATTCAGCTCTAGGGGGCTGACTGGGCTGTGAAATCCACGTTGTTCTGCTGCTCTGTCTCTGCTCCTGGTCAAATCAAATGGACCAGCAGGACGGACAGTTCTTTGTCTGTGTTCACCTCCCAAGCTCCCAGTGAAAGTCCCTTCCCTCTGGTTGCTGGTGGAGTTCCGGCTGCTGGTGGAGTTCAGATCGCCGTGCTGGAGTATCAGTTACCGTAGCACCACACTGCCGTTCCTGCTACTTCCCTGTGTCTCAGTCTCCAGGTACCCCCCTGCTTCATCCTGATTAACTGTTTCTCCGTCTGTTTAATCGTGTCCTTATCTTATTCTGCCATCTTGATTCTTCCTGGAATGCCTTCTTCAGATGAAAATCTCAATTTCACAGTGTCCAGTCATAATGGTGTGGCCTGATAGGTGACACTGCTACCTGCCATGCTGGGGTCCCTTATGGGCACTGTTTCATGTCCTCGCTGTTGCTTTTACCATCCAGCTCCCCGCTAATGACCTGGGAAATGCAGTGAAAGACGCCTAACTACTTGGTCCCCTGGTACTCACATTGGAGATCTGAAAAAAGCTTTTGGCTCCTGGCTTTGGTCTGGCCTGGCCTGACCATTGCAGCCATCTAGTGAGTGAACCAGTGGATGGAAGATCTTTGCCTCTCTTCCTCTCTAAAATCTGCCTTTCCAGTAAAAATAACTTAGATTTTTTTTTTTTTAAAGTCCCAGTGCTGTGGTAACTATTTGTAATACTGTATCACACATTCTGGTCAGTAGGCCCATAATGTGGTCTTTGCTGTTGTATTTATCTTCACTAGGACTGTGTCCTCTTTCTGTTGGTGACCTGGTTCTTTAGAGCAGAGCTGAAGTCGTATTAAGACCTTGTGTCTCCATTTCCACATTACTTTTTAGTTAGTTGTGTGGAGGATTTATGTCTCATTCAACTCTCTTAGGTGCTTTTTTTTTTTTAAACAAATGCATCTTTTCATGGTTTCAGTTGCACTGTTACTTTCCTCCTTCCTCCCTGTAGTTTTGCGGGAGTTGTAGGGAACGCTGTAGTCAGTCAGTGTCAGCGCTACGAGGATAAAGTTAGTGGGCAGGCGGCACAAGACTGTGAGGAGGGGTTTTGTTTCTATGTCTGCCTGTTGTAAGCTGGCTTGTTGCTTGTCATGGTTCGAAGTTAGAAAGCAGTTCGCATTGACTGCTGGTTCCTGTTTAAGATATTCACTGTATTTAGTTTTCCCTGATAATCTCCATATAGGTAGAGTACAGAGAGATGGATGAAAGCTTGGCCAACCTCTCAGAAGATGAATATTACTCAGAAGAAGAGAGAAATGCTAAGGCCGAGAAGGAAAAGAAGCTTCCCCCACCACCGCCGCAAGCCCCACCTGAGGAAGAAAACGAGAGTGAACCTGAAGAACCCTCTGGTGAGTTACAGGCAACAACCACAGTTTTGTTTAATCCCAGGAATACAAATAAGTGGGTTTATTGCTCTTCTACAGTTACCTGTCTTCATGTTTGGTTTGTATTGTGATAGTGAGGCTGTTACTGTGTGTGTACATATATTTCTGTAGGTAAACATATATGTACTTACAGAGGTACTGATAGTCTTGGAATGTGTGTGCATGTGTAGGAAGATCATTGGAGGAAATGCTTGTTGAACACTCTAGAGGATTACTCAGATCCACATGGGGGGCTTTTTTGTATTAATGACTTGCTATCAATGAGCTTTCTTATTTTCCATACAAAAACATACTTTGATGGATTTGCCCCAACCCCATTGCCTTCCGGCTGTTGAAATTTACCAGAACAATCTTACTAGTATTTGCTGGGTTTAAACTGTGTGTTTAGCTAACTGTTTTTCACTAGGGAATGTGGGGGAAGAAGCGTTGTATTTCAAATTTGGGACAGCTGTGTTGTGCATCGCCTCAGGCTTTTATTGGAACTTGCTCTAAAATAAGAGGAAGTTAAATGGGATGTTGGGGTGCGCTTCTTCAGATTTCTCTTGTCAGTGGGCTTCTCGGCAGAGCCTTGAGTGTGTGTGTTCATGCTGTTTCCTAGGATCAGCAGTGTGCTGATACTTCCAGTGAAGCTCAGAGGCTTCCTTAAGTCATGGGTTAGCTCTTCAGACTTATCCTGTTAGATCGGCTTAGCTGAATCTGTTGACTTGAATGATGGTCAGATCATTTTATTTCATTATTTTTGCCAAGGAGATTTTTCTGTTATTATCAAATTACGTGGTCATTTTGTGTGTGTGTGTGTGTTTAGCAGAGGCATGTAACAGTATTGATGTGAGAGACCTGTTTTGGTGAAAATTAACTCGGAAGTAGGGAGCTGGGCCTCAGCCAGCATTCCATGTGGGCTGTTGGTGCCACCCACTCCCCTGCAATGTCTGCTCCTATTTTTTGTTCTTAAGTTAATTGATAAAATTACATATTATGTTCAGCGTGGTATTTTGAAATATACATATATTGTGGAATGACTGAATCCAACAAGTTAACATTGCCTCACTTATTTTTGTGGTGAGAAAACTTGCTCTTCTAACTAGAGTCATCATGTTATGCAGGGTATCTTTCAAGAATATTTTTTATTTCATATAAAAGCATTTTTTTTAAGTTGTTAATTTGCCTGCTTGAGCGAGAAAGAAAAAGAATTCATATCCCGTGGATCCTTCCCCAGGTGTCAACAGCCCCAAGGCTGGGTCAGGGCAAAATCCAGAGCTGGAAACTCAGCACAGGTCTCTTCTGTGGTGGCAGAAGTCCAGCTCCTGGAGCCCTGGCCACTACCCTCCAGGCTGCTCTCTAGCAGGAAGTTGGAATCTAGTCGGTGCTGGGTATCCAACCCCAGATCTCAGTGTGGGATGCAGGCTCTGTAGTGAGTGCCAAATCGCCCAGACACCCTTCTTAGAAGTTGTTTTTAAGTAGTCTTTTTCACTACAATTGGATTTTGGAAATGTTACATTAAGTATGAGAGTATGATTTTTTTTTGTTTCCTGAAGCAGTTTCAGATTCTTCTGTTTACAACTTTTGACCCATTCAGTCAGATATTTGAGGATTAACTACATAGTGTAAGATTTCGTTTCGTTGCTTCTTCTGTTTTGCCTTTTATTAACACAAAATAGTCATCTGTTTAGCTGAGCAGCTTTGTAGTTCCTGTGCATCCTTTGTGCTGCCATCATTGATTTGGTCTCACCTGTCATGAGATTGTCATTTGCAGAGTGACACTTTGGTATGAGGATCAAATGAAAAAAATGGGAAGTCCATCTTTATGTGTAAAGGTCTTGTATTAAACACAGTTAAATTGGGAATTGTGTAAAATGTTTTATTCAGAAACAAGTTAGTTCAGGGCCCAGCAGCGTGGCCTAGTGACTAAAGTCCTCGCCTTGAACATGCCCGGGATCCCATATGGGTGCCAGTTCTATCCCAGCAGCCCTGCTTCCCATCCAGCTCCCTGCTTGTGGCCTGGGAAAGCAGTCGAGGACAGCCCAAAGCTTTGGGACCCTGCACCCGTGTGGGATACCCGGAAGAAGTTCCTGGATCCTGGTTCGGATCAGCATAGCATCGGCTGTTGCGCTCACTTGGGAGTGAATCATTGGACGGAAGATCTTCCTCTCTGTCTCTCCTCCTCTCTGTATATCTTACTTTCCAATAAATAAATAAATCTTTAAAAAAAAAGTAACAAGTTAGTTCAGTTTATGGTTTAGATGTACATGAAATATTACTTTCAGACCAACTGCTTATGCATAGTAGCCCATTTATAATGGTGTGTTATGAATTAGATTATTTTTTAAGGATCTGAAACTAATGAAGAGGCATGTCTTTGTAAAATGTCTAAACTAAACTGTATCTAATGTTTTATGATAAATCATGAGAAAATGGTACTTAGACATTCTCTTTTCCTCTAGTGATTAGCAGAATTGAAATGAATGCCTCGGCCTGATTCATGCATCAGCTGAGCTATGGCCAGTAAGAACATTTTTGCTGTATTAGCTGGTCACAGAGGTGTAAAACATTTGAAGATAGGGTTGCTTTTTTGCTTGTGTTGCTATTTTTGCATCTTAGGTGAAGAAGGAATACCACTTCTGGCTGATAAATTGCAGGATGTTGTGTTTTCCCTATAGAAGCATGGGACTAAGCTATCTTATCCAGGAAGGTGGAGCTAACCTGTTTTGATAAAAAAGGGAATTTGGAAACTCATTCATCTCAATATTGTCAGATCTGAAATATTTAAAAATGTTTTTTAAATAAAGGAGTGCCAGAATAAAAGTTAATGTTTTTAAAAAAGCAGGTACTAATTAGAAAAAAGTGTTTGTTATTAACCACCCATTTTCATTGATAGCTGGGGCAAGAAAACATAGCATCTGACATGTAAGCTTTTGGGAAACATCTTAACAAATGAACTATATTCCAAGACTTAGCAAGGATCAGGAAAATTCCTATTATGGAAGGTAGAAGGAAATGGCATGTGTGAAAAAGTACGTTCTTTCCATTGGCTTCTGAAAGCTTTGCTTTCCTGTCTAGCTTAGAGTTTTTAATTCTCTTGAAAGGAATCATTTACTAAGCTTCTCACTTTTTCCTAGTGATGCTACTAAAGGTCCAGCCTGGCACATTCTTCAAGCATAATAGATTTTCTCACTTCTAGTCCTTAAAAGGGTATTTAAGTTTAGCATTTTGGTGTTTTTTCAAAAAGGTTTATTTGAAAGGCAGAGTGACCAATGGAAAGAGAAAGACAAGAGACAAAGATTTTCATGTGCTGGTTCACTCCCCAAATGGGCATAATGGCCAGCACTGGGCCAGGTAGAGGTTGGGTCCTGGAACTGCATCTGGGTCGCCCATGTTGGGTGCAGAGGCCCAAGCACTAGTGCCATTTTCAGCTGTTCTCCCAGGGACATTGGCAGGGAGCTAAATTGAAAATGAAAGCCCTGGGACTTGAATCAGTGCCCATTTGGGAAGCTGGTATCACAGTGGGTGACTATACTCTCTATGTCACAAACCTCATGCTGACCCCTATAATTACGTATTTTAAATGACAATGTAATGTTGAAATTGCTGTTCCAGTTGAAATACTTATATTTTATTTTAGATAGTTTCATGGTGTGTACTGAATAGTTTAGTGGTGTTACATTTCTTCTGCTCTGCTTTGACGGAAGCAGGCTCGTTTAGCTTGTCTCTGTAAGTCCAGTTTACGTTGAATTTCTTCCAACTGCTATAGTTTATTCTTTTGCCAAGAATTGTAATCAAAGAGTTAGGCAAGTAAGGCATTAAGAATAGCATCCTTAGGGTATTTTTAAAGTCATCTCTCACTACAGAAATGAAGTTATAAGGTGGTGATAGTTACTAATAACTCGTTGCCTTACTCAGGATTTTTTTTTTTAAAGTTATTTTATTGGAAAGTTACATTTACAGAAAAAAGGGGAGAGAGAGAGAGAGAGAGAGAGAGAGAGAAAGGGATAAGATCTTCCCTCTGCTGGTTCCCTCCCTAGGCTGCCTCAGTGGTTGAGCTGAGCCAGTCCAGACCCAGGAGTGTCTTCCGGGTCTCCCATGTGGATGCAGGGTCCCAAGGCTTTGGGGTGTCCTCCACTGCCTTCACAGGCCACAGGCAGGGAGCTGGATGAGAAGTAGAGCACCTGGGACATGAACCACTGGCCATATGGGATCCTGGTACATGCAAGGCGAGGAGGACTTTAGCCACTGGTCTATCGCAGTGGGCCAATTTTTTTTTTTTTTTTTTTTTTAGTTTTAAGAAAGATTAATTAATTTTGATAGTCAAAATGAGAGGGAGGGAGAAGGAGATGGGGGGAAAGAGAATCTTCCGTCTGCTTATTCACACTCCATTGCAGTGGTCAGTGCTGGGCCAGGCTGAAGGTAGGAGCTTCGTGTGGCTCTCCTGTGGAGGAGGAGGAGGTAGGGATCCTAATTCCCGGCCATCTTTTGCTTCTTTTTCCAGGCTGCTGGTAGGGAGCTGGATTGGGAATAAAGCAGCCGGGGCACAAACTGGCGCCCACATGAAGTGCTGGCTGGGGTTACATGCGGCGTTTTTATGTGCTGGTACAAACATCTGCCCCTCAACTCTTTGCTCATTTGTTCTGTCGACCACTTCTGATTACCTCATGCCCATGAGGCTACATATTGCAACTGTTTTAAATCTCTTATTACTACCAGGCTAGTTTAAAGTCTTTTAGTTTAACCTCAGTCTCAGAATTTCTGAGTTTTATTCTGTACTTTCTATCTTTAAAATATTTTTATTTAGCTTTAATATTCTATATTCTCAGATTTCCCATTTTGTTCTTTGTGTTAAGTCTCATTTTGAAGTTCTTTTCTCTTTCGTAAGGTTTGATGTAGAGCTGTACATCCTCCTTTGCACAGCATTTTCATGTTTTGCACTTTGTTCATTTCACCTTGTGATTTGTGACCAGCCTTTTTTTTTT